CCATTATGATTGTTGTTCTTTACTCTGCAACATTTTATGACTTCACAACTTTTTCATAATATTCATTTGCCATTGCTGTGTGCTATAGTCTGTATTGTTTGTCTAATTATGGTTAACAATGTCTGTTTTTTCGATTATTGCTATGATCTTGCTCTACTGGATTCTAACATCCGGAATACTTTTACTTTAGATGGTTGAACTGTGGTAACCCTAAAGTCAGTCTTGTACTCAAATTATATCTGCATTGAGATATTAGAAAATGGCCCCTTGAATTGCATTGCAACTAAATCTAACAGGGGCTGTTTTATTTTGGCTTGCCAATGTTAGGTTCCTTTAGACACAATTGGTTGCAAGTGGTGCTTTTCCAACAACAACAACAACAACAACAAAAAATGAAACAAAGTCCTTTAAGAACTCAACTATATGTTGCATGCATGAATTGAATACTCAGTAAGAATGTGTAACAAATACAGTAAGAAAGTGTATGCCCTCAAAATGATTGACTGCCACAGTTGAACCATACCTACTGTATTGTTCCAGTGCTATGACTATAACTGTTTGCCTTCACTCTGTCCATGCCTGACTCTCTCTGTTTACTTGCAAACTTCTCTGAGTTGTGTGCTTCAACCTAACAGGGCTAGAAACCTTTTGTCAACAGCAGTCAATTCCACAAAAATATATATCTTAGCCCCAGATATAGATCTTAACCCCACCCCCAAATGGGGGTGGGGTTTTAAAAAATGGAAGTATGTCTTTTTTATCTGAAGAATTTCTGGCTGCAATAGATTTATCATCTGTTTCCTTGTTTTTGAAGATAATGTCCAAAATGTGTCAGGTTGACAGTTGAGTTTCCAGTCCTGTGGTTCTTCATACTTTTTCCTAACTTGCTTGACTTGCCATTGGACCTCCCTCCTTTGCCTCTGTCTAACTGCTTCCCTCAGCTGGAGTACCTGTAATACCTGAACATGAAGGTAACAGTACCACCCGTCAATACTGGGCATTCTCTCTGTCTAAACTTCAACCCTAAACTGTACCTTGCATGTACCAAATGTACCAGTAAACGTCTTCTCTTGTCATTGTAGGGCTTTAAATACTGGCTTGGTGCATCCAAAATTGGAGCTGTGCTCCCAATTTTTTTCAGTGGGTGCACTGGTGCACCCAAATATTTTCAAAGGTTTATGTATGGTTGTACCTATATTAGATGTATACAAGTATACAGCATATTCTTGACATCTAAGTCTCAGAAAAATAATAATTTCTTTGTTATTTAAGATTATTTTATATGGTGCACTCAAAATGTTTTTGTGCACCCAATTTTTTAGGTCGAGTGCACCAGTGCACCTATGCCCAAAAATGAATTTCGAGCCCTGCATTGTATGAGCTAAAGAAAAGGTGTGGTATCGACAGATTCATAAAGAAAGACATTTACATCTCTTAACAGAAAGAGCAACACATCCAAAACTCTTTATTTTGGATGTGTTCTTCTTTTACGTAAGAGTAGTTCTGTTAACATGCACAGGGTACAGTGTTGCAAGGGACACAACAAACATGTTCATATCACAATGAATTGTCGTTTTTTGTCCAATCATGACTGTCCTGTCCTCTCCTATAATTGTATTGACTGTTTTATAGTTTATCGGTTGTTGTTGGTGTGGTGGTTTGACAGAGCATGTGTGACCTAATATGCAGGTTTGAAATGGTGTTAAATTTAGAAAAGACAATAGTAAGAAACTGACTCGTAGTTTGCATTAAAGCACCGAAGAAACATGTATAAATTTCAAACATTGGGACTGACTGATGTAATGCATGCACATTGACACTCATTCAAAGAGTCCCAACAGTTGCTTTTGTAACCAAATGGCTTTGCCACCATTTGCTTAGTCTACCAGCAAATCAGCGTATCAAAAAGTCAAGATTCCAAAATATATTTCAGGCTGGCTAGAACAGTGATTACAGTATAATGTGTCTGTACGTGTCAACATGTTCTGTCATACATGTACCATCCCTTTATTTGTTATTGTTGCCATCCCTGTTTCATGTTATTGTACTCAAGCCTGTGTTTGTATCATGACGTCCTTCCAAGACCTTTTACAAGTACATGTGAAAATAGCTGTTACCCTTGTCTTCTTCAGACATCAGATATGGTGTCACTTTTGACCCTAGTGACCCCAAGTCGCTGCCTTTTTATCCCAATTTTGTTACCCCAGTTTTAGATGGTCAGTGGTCAGTCCCTTTCTTCATTGTGTATGACTGACCACTAACCTTATGAATTATCCCCAAGCCTATCAACTGTTTCTATCCATAGTGTTCTCTCTTCATCCATCTTTCTTGTTCTCTCTTATTCTGTCCATCAGCTTCAAAGATCCCGAGGAACAGCTACCTAGGTAACCCTCCATTCAGGCATGGTGTGCGACATGCAATGCAATGCATGACCTAGGGGGACCTGCGCAGGGATTGTTCCCCTTTACTAGCAGTTTGCTCATTGCAAAACTCACTGCATGGCTATGTGGTCTTGCCTTGCAATAGTAGTGTCTGCCAGAAACTGTATTCCATGTCATGTTCTTGGTGTACAAATTACATATAAAGAGACTTTTTCCTTGCGATAGGTTATGTAGGTTTTTCTCTTTGGTTAATGCTTTAACATACTGGAGTAGTGAAGTCAACACTATCATTTTTTTGATGATGATGTTGTGCTATGTGTGCACTGCTCTGATTGAATCTGCTGGTAGTTTCCACTGTTTTGTGTGATCTACATGACTATATACTAGTATGTATGTGCTTTTTCCCCCCCAACATCAAGATGGTTTGATCTATATTATAACAGCCAGTATTGTCATGACAACGGTATTTATAATGTTATGGAAAGATTGTTGTTAGGTACATGTACCTTGCTTGCTTTTAAGTTGCATATTGCAGTAACGTTTTGATGCATGATAAAGCAAAGTAGATACAGTATGCTATCAGTGATATCTGCTAGTAGCCTGCTTGTTAAGTGATACCTTATTATTACGTCATATTTTAGATATCCGTACATATAATATCCGTACATATGTTGTAGAATGCATTGTCTTCCTGTCTGAAATGAAACTACAAACAACAGCCATTGTTCCAAAGACTGGGTTGTGTTGTTTTACTTCCCAACTAGACTTGCAGTGTTTCTTTATATGTCTAATTTGTGCATTTGGTTCCACTGCACCGCTACTCTAGGCTGGGCCATCACGTCTGGCAGGTTCCTGACCAAAGACACGACAGACTACGTCGCAGGTGCACCGAGGGCTAACAGCAGGGGGGCCGTCCTGTTCTTTGGCAAGGAGGCGGGGAAACTTGTGACGCGGCTGGTCCTCAAGTCAGACTACCTGGCTTCTTCCTTTGGATTCTCCGTGGCATCTGTGGACCTGAACTTTGACACGTAAGTCGCTCCGGAAAATTACTGACAAATCTTACGGCACAGAAATCATCCTTCTGTCACCATTCCTTATAAAAGCATTGGAAAGAATATCCAAAACAATCTGTCTTCAGTGGTTTCACATGAGTTGGTTTCTCCTTATCCTTACTAAACTATCCAAGGAAGCATACAAATGTATTCATTTGTGCATAAATGATGCAATCCTCCTCATAAGGCAAGTACAATGTAATTACGTATTACAGAGTTAATTCCTCATATTTTATGATAAATTTTAATAAAGAAAATGAATAAGTAATGGTAAGATGCTTGCTGTGTTCTATTCAGATGGCCAGATCTGGCTGTAGGAGCACCATTTTACTTTGATGCGAAGAACAGCAAAGTGGGAGGTGCAGTGTTCGTCTACATGAACGACAAACGTGGCATGGAGAACGTGGAGCCGATAAAGCTACTCGGGCCCACAGACTCCCTGTTTGGCTTTGCGTTGGCCAATGCCGGGGATGTGGACAGGGATGGATACTACGGTAAGTAGGGAGGAAACCATGCTTTCTTCTTGTCTGCTTCAAGAAGAACAGGTGTGATATGATTTGCTGTTTCAAGTTAAGACAATTTAGAAATGTAATCTGTCTTCTTCAGGTTGGAATTGTAGATTTTCAAGCAAGTCTTTAATGCAACTATGTTCACAATATGTTTCTGACTAGTTTCAGTTACCATCCACTGCCTTTCCTCAGTGACCAAAAGAAATCTGTAGTCAACAGGTTCTCATCAACATATCTTGTGTCTTTCGTCTCATGTTAACCTTTGACACTTGGTCAATACAGATCTGGCTGTGGGTGCTCCATACGACGAGGGAGGCATGGGGGCAGTCTACCTGTACCGCGGGGACAAGAACGCCGGCATTGTGAGGAAATACTCGCAGAAGATCGTCCCCACCGACTTCCCCACTCAGTTTGCTTCCATCAGGACGTTTGGGTACTCCCTGTCCGGAGGCACAGATCTGGACGACAATGGTTACAAGGACCTGCTGGTTGGGGCGTACGAGACAGCAAACGTTGTCCTGCTGAGGTAAGATTATGTATTTATTGAAATTGTGACAGTAGTGGGGTCATGTGGCAAAAACTGCTGAACGTTTGGCTCAGAACTGAGAGATCTTGGATTCGAATCCTGCTATGTCAACAATGTTGTGCCCTTGAGAAACGGCTTTCCTCACTTCACTCAGATGGAAATGAGTACCTACATGTAGCTTCTGTTAGAGATGTCCCTCAGATAGGACGTTGAATGGAGGTCCTGTGTTTGAGGAAAGGCAACACCTTGAGCACACAAAAGAACCCGCCACACTTATCACAAAGAGTTGGGGTCCTTCCCCAGTGTGAGTGAATTAAGCCAGTCTGGCCTAAAATGGGGTCGGGAATTTCCTGAGCAGCATTCATAACCCCTCCTTCACCTAGTTAAACTTGCCTAAGCTTGTTGTTTCTAAAGCATTAATTCAGTGCCCAGAAGTGGCCCTTGTGGCTTTGCACTGAGCAAAACTCGTTTTAAAAAATGAAACTTAATAATAAGCACAGCATGAGTAAACAAATCTATGGTACGAATACAAAGCCTAGCATATGTGTTGAATGAAATAAATCAGTACAATATTATTAGCTTATTAGAATTAGAAGCTTTTTGCTCCTCTAATCCTCTTAATCTGACATTGAAATGTTTGTATATTATTACATTTTTAAACCAATGTACTTGTTTTTTCTCAACAAGATATTGTTGCGTCTCTTGCATCATGTACAATGTATATTCTGTATCCCATTTAGGGCACGGCCTGTTGTGACAGTTGAGGCAACGTTTGAAGGCCCGGGCACCATTGATCCCAACGACTTCAGCTCTGCTTGTAGTGTTGGAGTAAATGCAAGCTACATCTGGTGAGTTCTTATTCAGGATAACTTTAAAATATACCTAGATTTCACAGGTGGCTAGATATCCCCTGCCTATGTGTGCTTGAATTCAAGCTGGACATCAATACAGTCAAACCTGTTCAAGTCGCCGGCATCCAGTGCAACAATTGCAAAATATTCTGGGTGAGAAAGTCTGTCTGATAGTGACATTAACTGACATTTTTGTCATCATTTCATACTTGGAGTATATGAAATTGCCCCAAAGCAAGCTATGTCAGGCATCTCATTATTTGTTGCCTCAGTATCCTATGAGATATCAGTCGAAATTCGAATGTATAGAATTAGATTAACTTACCACAATGTCATAAAAGAATGACAAGAAAATTTTGCAGCCCTGAAAATGCATTGGATGCCCTTTATTTGCCTACATAAGGACCACCTGGCCACTTTTTGGTGGTCCATCAGATCCTTTTTCCCATTGATCTAAGCACTTGGACATGATGGGCAGTTTTTGACTGTAGATTAAGCAGTCTGCACTTCATTAGTGAATGTTGTACATTTTGTTTTCCAGCTTCGATGTGACTGTGAAGCTCACCTACACATCTCGAGCCAGGGGATCCAGGGACGACAGAATAAGTAAGTAAAGCCTTTTGTGCACATCCAATGTTTTGCGCACATCCAGCAGTAACGATTCGACTTTCCACCAGTTTTATTGATTGAAATCAGTGATCTTTATGTTTGTGTCTGCATGTATCGTATCTGATGGTCCCATCAGTGATACAGTGACAAACTCAGAATGCAAGCCTTGGCACAGCCTCCATAATTACAATACAGTTTTAGTTGCAGAGGTTACTGTGGTTGTCTGTATACATCCCATCTCTATTATCAGTCATCAGCCACAAATTCTCTCAACTACCATTCATCGCCCCGTCATCCTTTTATAAACATTTTATCCTTTTCCGTCTGTCCTGAGTTACTTTATCTGTATCAGAGTTGTAAAAATTGGCAGGCATCAAGTTTTGCACTACATGTAGACCAGAGGTAGACAGTACCATACCCTTCCATGTGTGTATACCCGTCATTCTTGTGTCATGTTTCTGTGATGTATGTGTGTGTATCAGGGTTCAACAAGTTCATAGGCTTCCGAAAATGATTTCATCAGGTTGGTCGAACATAGGAGAAATGTTGGATCTAAAACCACTGGAAATCACTAGCCTGGGTACCTCCCACAGTCACTACTGACTTGGTTGGTTGGTAGCGACTGTGGGAGCAGACGTATATTAAACTAACCAGGATGGAACCCAGGCTAGGAAATCGCTGTGAATAGTTTTCCAAACTTGTTGAACCCTGATGAGTGCTCTGGTGCTTGCTGGAAGTCCCCATGACTCCCAGCATGTCCCAGACAGCCTCCCATATCTTCCCTGTACTGTTTGTTCCTTGTGCTTGCTAAGCCGGGGAGACAGTGGTTGTACCGGAATACTTCGACAGCTTCAGTGAGTATGTCATTGATGCGCCGGCGTTAATTGCTGTCGTCTGCTGGCAGAGGTCCCCCCCCCCCCCACGTGCTTGTGGCCTTCCCCTGTCTCCCTGCCTTCTAACACTTGACTTTATGTAATTTGACTCCAAATGTTTTGAGCCTACTGATTAGGTTTTACTGTTAAGCCTTGGAAAAAATGTTGTATTTCTGGTTTCCTGACCGACCCTAGCAAAAACCTGCCACCCTAGCCTTTTTGATCAACCGCTGTAAGGCTACTAAATTTTGATCCAACATCTGAATTTCAAACTCTTTGGATGTCATTTAACGCATTTTCAGAAGCAATTTTTTCTTCAGTACATTCGGTGAAATATTTGTCCACACAGGAAAACAGGTGGATGGGTCCTTGAGACAGTCCTGGTGCCCGTTGAACTTTGTTGAATAATCTTAGCCAAATTTCTATTAAAGAGAATTGTGTTCTGCTGACTTACAGGCCCTAGTTTTTCAGGACTGAAGCTGGAAACACAACATTAATTTTTCTAGGCCTAACCAGTCTTTGCTTTTTAAGAGTTTGGCTGGATAGTGTTTTTGATTACAAGGCAAAAACAAAATAAGGCAACAATGAAGGCTGCATTACTTTGTTCTGAAGTGCTGGCTGTGTTTCACTGGGAAGGCACAAAAAGCTATTTGGCTTCATTACTGGCAATGTTCTTGGTGGTGCATGATTTATTTCTAAAAAAGAATTATTAGCAAGACAAAAGCAGGTTCAAAAGTTATAATTTGCTCAGATGAGCTTCAATTGTAGAATGTCATTGATTCTCAGGTTCCCCAAAACTAAACATATTTTCATATTTTTTATCTGGACTTTTGTTGGCTCATAGTCAACCGTTTATGCAACTAAGTAGTAATTTGTTCTACACCTGTTCTTCACACCTTGTAGCGGTGGATTACAAAGTGGAGGCGGAGAAGACTCGTCTGGATGCCAACCTGAATTCCCGGGTCTTCTTCAACTCCCGCCTGGACCAGAACTCTTACCAGAGCCAGGTACGACTGAGGGACGGCCGCACGGCCGAGAGGAAGGTCAAGGTGTATGTCAAGGTCAGTGCTTTTCTTTTCTATTTCCATCTTTGTAACTTTTGTGGTATTTTAAATACCAGCTGATGACTTATCATTGCTAAAGTGGTCCGTGAAAATTTGATCCATATGTGCCCCTGTGTTGGAATAAAGTTCAGCATTGTTGTACGATTACTACCAACACAGATGAACCTCCACGATAACATATCATTGCTACTGTTACTGAATCACTACATTGCATTGCATTGCATCATATTACATTATAGTACATACATTGTACATACATCATCAGAATTGTTACAAAACCAAGGGATTAGTGGTAAGGCATAGCACTGGGAACAAGAAGAACTTGGAACTATCTACAAGAATTCAGCATTGGGAACTAGAAGAACTGGAAACCCCTTTCAACAAGTCAATTTTAGATACGTGTTATGATAGTACTCCATACTGTGGCTGTAACTGCTGCTATGATATTGTGTTACAGCGAGATGTGCGAGACTACCTGCGCCCGATCCCGCTAGAGCTGAACTATGACCTCCCCCAGAACACGCCGTCCCTGCCCAACGCAGGCCGACCCGTGACTAACCTCATCAACTTCCCCATCCTCAACATGGCGGTGGGAAACAAGCGCGACCTCCAGGTGCACTTCCAGAAGGACTGCGGAGAGGACCAGAACTGTAACAGTAACATGCTGCTCAGTGCCAGGTTCTTGTTACCTGGGTGAGTTCAGCCACAGGAATGTCCTCTAACTTATCAGCACTAGTCGTGTGATGTTCAAAACATTATGTCAAATAATCAATGTTTTCCCAAATACAGGGAATTTTCTGGCTATATTGACTACCATTGTCTTCTCTTGACGAAAGGACTTTGAAAAAACATTGACAGACAAGCAATGTGTCCATACTTCACATACACTGTACCTAAGCAGTACAGACAAATTTATATTTCTAATGAACTTAGACAAACCTTCTATTATGAAATACATGTAAATTTGTTCTTACCCTTTCACCATTACTAAGAAGTAAAGAGATGTTGAATTCACTTAGTTGTAGTTACTTAACAATGTATATTATGTAACGTTATCTGTATACTATTCTTTTGTTGTTGTGACCTGTGCTTAACCCAGTGGGTACATGTTTACAATAAAATTAATGTCTTTCTTCATTCATTGAAGTAGTAATCAGTGTGAATGCTATATATAAATGATAGTTATCAGTACTCTGTTGTATTTGATATATATTATGTATCTGAAATATATATTTCTGTCTTCCCCAGTAACCCCCCCACATACAGCCTTGGTTCCCCGGACGAGCTCAGGATCGAAGTGACAGCTCAGAACTTTGACGAGCCCGCGTACGAAGCGGCGCTGTTAGTCGTGGTGCCGAAGACCCTGAGTCTGGTCGGTGTGACCGGTGTGCAGGAGGAGGAGGTGAGATCTGGGTTGGGTTTACTGTGCAGTTCCCAGAGATTCTATTATGTGATAGAGGCTGGTATAGGCAAAGTACATGTAGCAGTGTTTGATACTTTGTTACAGTGCTCTGGCCACTTTCAGTCATTTGACGGAGTTTTGTCGCTCATGATGGACCAAAATTTTTGCCCAATTTGTCACTTTGACAAAAATTGGCATGTAAGGATATATCACTAAAAGTCTACCAAAAATTTGCTCCTCAAAGTGCAGGAATTTTATGTGAAAGAAATTTGAGATGACATTAAAAAAATTCATGCTTTGTTGAATAAGCCAAGGTGGGCATTGCAGACTTTCTTCCTACCAAAAGACAGTATTGAAAATACTGGTTACTAGTATGAAATGTGACAGTTTTAGACAAGGAGTGATTGTGTAGGTTATCCTATGGGTGTACCGGTCAAGCCAGGAATTGCCATGACTTGGTTCTTTTCTAATCACAACAACACGGTTGTAGATAGAGCTAGAATCAAATAACTGCACTTGGAGAGTCAAAAAAAGCTGCTTTACAAACTTGCAGCATGTGGTCCTTACAAGCACCTTGAACTGGCTGCTTTATGCATGTACGTTGTAAGTTCTGATAAAGTAAGTTTAAGAAATCTTGCTAAAGCACCTGTCACACATTCACGACTTTCCCAAAAATTTGTTCCCAAACACCAGCTGACCAGATTTAGGCCACTCCTACCTGTTTATCTGAATCAAAACAAATTTGAGTTAAGTTTGAGTCACATTTGACCCCGATCACACAAAGAACACTGCTGACTGCGGATTGGTTGTCTGTTGTTCTGCTGACTTACAGCCGATTACCAGCCAACCATAGTCAAACCTCCCAACTTTGCCCCGACCTACTCCTAACCATGGTTAGGTGGCGTTCAGCTAGTGTTCGGGAAGCCAAATTCGTGAATGTGTGACAGGAGCTTAAAATATGTGTTGCGGGAGCTCTCATTTGAAGATGGAGGTGAGAATGACACAGATCCATGACTATCACCATGCTTATGCCTCCTGTATGCTTAATCCATTTTTGCAATAATAACAGCTGTGCTTTGCCAACTTGCAGGTTTGCACTACTGCTAGTGTGTACCCTCAGCCAAAACTCTGGTCAAGAGTTTTTTGCTCTTCAAATATTCAGACACACAATGACTATAGTTGCCTCTGAGACTTCATACTGTCATGCAGTGGCCCCCTTTATATGGGCAGTTTCTTTGACAGTCTTTACAAAATAGTGTAACTGTTTACTTTACTTGTTAACTTTTGAATGTTACCTGCAATTTAACATAAAATGGTCCTTTGCTATGTAACTGTTACATCTTTATGGATTGCATGGTTTCTTAAATATGAATGTTGTTGGACCAGGAATGCTGGATACGGACGTCATTTTAGCTGTCACTTATTCAATCATGACTCAAATCTTTTAAAGCATATTTTAGTACAATATCATGTACTAAGTGAACCAAAAGCATCCCTCTGATTTGGTAAATGAATGTACAGTTACATGATACACCGCAGCAGTTTTTAGGCAAGTCACTTTTCACTTTCTCTACCTCTCACACTAACGAATTTCTCTTTCCTCTGCTCCTCCACTCGCTCTGCATGTTAATCATGGTTGCCATGGTGAGTACAGATCATGTCCCTGGGCGACATCCCCAATCACATTTGTGTTGAAGTATAGTCTAACTTGCACCTTCCTAAACCCCATGTTATTCCTCCTAAACTGCAGATATGTTGTGCTAAATTCCTGTCAAGTTTCTAGTATTATTTACTATTAAACGTAAATGTTGTAAGATTTGACAGGAATAAACCAATCACATAAGGCATGTGCTGATCATGTGATTACAACATGTTGAGCATGTGATTAGTAGGTGGTGATCACATGGTTGTCACATGTTTGTCATGCTAGCAGGAGTTGTCAATCATGTGATGATCATGTGATCAACACTTGCTGACTGTGTGATAGTGTGTGCTCACCTGTGCTGGTCATCACAGTGATGTCAATGATATACCATTTGATCAATGCATGCTTTATGTCTATGATTTGTGTCAAACTTTCTTAAGCATCTCTTACCACTCATCTCTATTCTTCATTTTCATCTCGAGACTTCTCTCATAACTGTGAGTTTCTCTCACTGTCTTTTAGGACATTTCTTTGGATATGTTAAGACATTCATAGGGATATAAAACATACAGCTGTCCCCCCTATCAAAACTATGGTTGATGGCATCAATGGCAAAGTTGTATTATATGATTAGCTCAATCTCATAGGTTTATCTTAAATAGCAACCAAAATTAGTTAGACAATTCCTGATGATTTGTCCAAGGCCCAGTTGCATTTATGGACGTACAGTTTTCCTGTATTGTGTATTGTGGATTTTCCCTATCTCTGCCACTCTCCTGGATGTTGTTGTTATGATTTTCTTTTGTTTTCCTATGAGACTACTAGTCTAGGACAATATTCTAAAACAGTATCATGTATACACGTAGTATGGAGAACTCCTTATCTTGGTCTTAAAGTTATGACTGAGGAAAGGTTTAGGATACTTAAAAGCAATGCCTTAAAACAGGTTGCCTTACTTTTAATCTCTAACCTGTATCGATGGACCAAAAATCACTGCTGTAGTCATAGAAACAACATTGGAGGCCTTAGATTATTCCATTTGACAGAAGGGTTGTCAGGTTCTGAGGTTGTTTTGTGCCCTACTTGCCTGTCATGTTGGTTTCTGCCTGTGTTTAACACTGTGTCATTCCATGCTTCTGACAGCCATGCAATTTGGAGCTGGATGAGGTGTTCTGTCTCATTCCTTCTTGTGCTTGCAGCAGTTTTTGTTTATTTCTCCATGAAATATACATTGTTCTTCATGCTTTTCTGTCTCCATCTAGTCAAAGTACAGAAGAATCCTGAATTCAAGATCCTTTTGTGATGTCAAAAACACATTTAAAAAGTCTTTTTGTCATCTGCTCAACTTTATATCCAAATTCAGTTTTGTGGTATCTGTGCTGTAAGTGAAAGATAAAATATTAGAGAATTGTTTGATTCTTTGTACCTTGACTAGCCAGTGGAAATATATGTTTTATTTGAGCATGTTGCTTTGATTGTGCTCATGCCATAAAAACACATCATACATGTTTTCACACATAAACATGTGGCCATTTGCAATTGGTGTGTGTGTGTGTGTGATTGCTGTGTTACACGGACACCCCTCTATAGCAGAGTGCTACTTTCAGCAACACAACATTATTTTTACACACCTGACAATATGTGTACTTGGGGAGAGCCCTGCTTGGTGTGTGGTTTGCAACTTTTTGCACTTTGCAAATTTATAATGGTATTATAGTTGCACTCGAGTACAAGCTACATACATGTACATGTTCAGTCACAACACAATTTGCAAATTCAAACTGTGTCAGTGGCAAATGTACCATAGATTCATTGCATTAGCCTGCTGACTACATGGTTTTTAAGAATTTCTATTTCTCATACACTTTGCCTCTCTCCCATTTCTATAGACCAAGACATCTTGCATACCAAGGGAAGGGAATGAGACTTACATTGACTGTGAGGTTGGCAACCCTCTGCGCAAGTTGGTAAGTAAATGTGGTTTGGTCACTTTACTACCAGGTGTACCAAGTAGTTGGGATATGCTTGACAAATATTTTTGAACCATACCTACAACAAAAAGAGTTTGCCACTTGGGGAACCTTCGAGATGCACTCAACCCAGTAAAGTCAGATGTCATCTTGGAGTTCTCTTGTCACTTGACTTGATGTTGATTGTCACGTGGCGAGAGACAGTCATATACATTGTACAAGCTTGAGGTAGTGATGCCCCCTGTCTCTGTTCAAGGTACTGCATTGTCTGTGGATCTGGATCGCCTCCCAAACACAATTTGAAAACCTATTGGAATCTTCATCCAGCACTTTTGCCCTGTCCCTGAGTCTGTCTTGTGTTTCTCATTAGAGATGTGTTCCAGTTCGGATATGCTTTAGCCTTCTCCCTGCTGCCTAAACCTTGACACAACACTTGCTACAACTTTTGTGCCTACCTTCGCATGCTGAAGGCTGACTAATGTCTTATCTCCGTACAGCAAAAGTTCTTCCTTCGTTTTGAGACCAGAGGCATCAGGACAGACGAACCTGAGCTGGAGGTCTCCATGGAGTTGACGACGTGAGTAGAAACACATCTCACATTTCCTTTGTCTAAATTGCTGATCCCTTATACATGTAGCTAGCTATATACTAGTATATGTATTTGTTACCATTTCTTTGTAAGCAGAGGTAGTAACCTGTTGCTCTAGTGACCGTCCAATGACTGATGATTTGTGATCCATGTAGGACGAGTAATGAGACCAACACAGCAGACGACAGGGTCACCATTGTTGCCAAGGTCATTGTGGAGGTGGACCTGACTGTTTCTGGGTACGTATTTCATACACCCAATCAGTTTTTAGATTTGGAAACATCACTGTGATCTTATCTTGAAAGTTCATCTGTGTTGGTAGAAGTCATTATGAAATAAGATTGAACTGTAAAAAAAAAAACAAGATTGCCAACACAAAACATTGCCAACACAAAAATCCGCTCACGGAGTCACGTGTTATCTGCGTGACGTCATGGAAGCAGTGGATTGCTCATTCCTTGATAAAGACTGGAGTTGTACAGTCGAGTCCAATTTTGGGGGTTGACAATTACAGTTCAAACTTGTTTCATGATCTCTATGATCCGTCTACTGTCTAAGGCTTTCACTGGATTCTGCTTGGCTACTACAGAAATGGTTATTTGAATGTCGGTAACTGTTGTCCATTGTTTTATGATGTCCTTTGCAACGTTTTACTTGTTGTCAAATGATCGGTTCAGTCTGGATGTGGAATAAGCTGCTAAACCACTTTGTGACAGTCATGTACTGTAGCAGGATTGTAATGTTCTGTCTTTGTTGAATCCTGCAGGAGTTCCAAGCCTGAACAGGTCTTCTTTGGAGGGGAGTCTAAGGGAGAGAGTGAGATGGAATACCTGGAAGACATTGGCTATCCACTCAGCCACACATTTGTGGTAAGCCTGTTTTTTTTTTATTTGTCAAAGTGGCCAAGAAGTTTGAAACCTCTTTTTTTTATACCGTCTTTTTAGTACCTTCTTGTTACAATATGTGTTGAGAGTGAACTAGAACTTCTCATTGGTTTTGCCAATGTGGCTTCTTCAGCAGTTCAGGCTCAAAAGAATGCACTACACAAGGTTCACAATCGTACACATGTAAACATTGTACCTTTCTTCTCCTTGGAACATTTCAGCACAGAACTTCTATATTTCAGGTCCGCAACATCGGAACTGGTGACGTGCCGGGGGCCGTCGTGTCCATTGATTGGCCGTACGAGATCATGAACACGCCGCTGCATCCCAACGGAAAGTGGCTGCTGTACCTGACTGACATCGCGGTCCCCGTTGGTAATGCCCTGTGTCAGGCACCGCGTGGGATCATCAACCCACTTAGTTTGGAGGTGAGTTATTTATGGAGAGCAGTCAGTTGCTGGCCCGTCTTATAATTAAATCATTGATGGTCAACATTTTTTATTTCAAATGAAGTTAAGACAAGATCTTGAAATACTGTATTTCTCAATTTTTTAAGGTCTGTTCTGACCCACAAACTTATCATTACCATTTTAACAAATAATTTACCGACTTTCTTTTTTCTGCACCTGCCACCACCATGAGCATATTTTTCTGCAAACCTGTCCATTTCTGTCCGACTGCGAACTTGTTCTGTTGCAAACATTTATTATTTGAATTACAATATGCTAGTTAGCATGCTAATCCTTCAATGTAACAGTCCAACTCATTACTGAAATGCAGTCAAATGTCCTCTTTGTATATTCATTTATTCATTTGTTTGTTTAAAATATTTGTTTACAGAGCCGGAGACCTATTAACTACAAGCCGCCTACCAGTTCCACCACTACCAGAGATAGGTACCAGGTAAGGTCAAGTACTGGTATACAAGTACCTGAACATTAGACCTTGTTCATCTGTTGGGTCTTACACCATTCAAAGGAAACCATTTTTTTTTAAATTGCAGTTCTTAATATTGAATATGACAAAGTGTGATATGATATGACAAATCAAACCGACTCAGTCATGTAATACCATGCCGTAAGTCTTGATATTTTTGATAGTTCTCCCGTCACTTTATGACAGAACAAACTCTGTTTGCCAATTGTTGTCCATCCTTTACTTTGTCCCATTCAATGTTTCATCAACCAGATTTCTTAGACACTACATTTCAAATGTCAGGTTATTTGGAGTGCTTGAAGTTGATGTTTTCTGTCTCCGTCCTTGTGAATTGTTTCTGTCTTCTCATTGTTTTACTGTGTTCTTTGTGCACATCTAGTTTCTTCCATTTTATGTATGTGTTGTATTTTATTCCTTCTTCCAGTGAATGTTATTCATACAATGTATTGTGTTTCTTTTGTATATTTTTTGTGTGTTCTGTGTTTTTGTTGATCGGGTACACTTCTAATTCTATACTGGTCCTATCTTCTCTATTATGCTTTAATCCCATATAAAATAAACTCCACGTAACAGCCACCCGTAGACCCTCTTGCTGGTACAAGGAAAGAGGAAATAAGGAAAACTACAGTTAAAACTGGAGGAACCTCTGTTAAAACTGGAGGGACTGCTATAACGACTTCCAAAACTTCCTCAACTGTCTCTAAAACAACCTACACATCTTCCTCCTCCTCTGTAACTTACTCCTCTTCCTCCTCCTCTTCTTCTTCCTCTTCTTCATCTTCATCATCTGTTTCCTCATCTAACAAGGTCCGTGCCACCGACCGTGTGCGCCGATCCCTCACCGACAACTACGACCACGGCATGCAGACCTTCATGAGGAGGGCACGAGAGACAAACATCGGGGAACTGTTGGGCACCAAGACCAGCAGGGAGTCTAAGGTTCTGGTAAGTCAGCTTTGAGTTTGAGATTATTTGGGTTCAAAATTAGCATACATAGTTGATATTCTTCCTATGGCCCTACATTTATATAACACTGCATGACACAGGACAATAACAGATGCAAATCATAGATACACTGACAACAATAAACAAGTAAATTTATAAAAGACAACTTAAAAAGAGGTCCATATATTTACACCTACTAAAATGATTATTTCACTCTTACAAGTTAGTATCATTCCAGGTGTTAGACATTCTGTACTGAAAGCGTTTTTTCTGAGCATTTGCTCTGGTTTTCAGAAGGCAGATAGCTATAGGGTTATAGAAACAGATAGGAGCACTGCCCCTATACACCAAGAGCTGTGATTTTAACCTCCTGTTTACCTCCCTTCAGGACTGTAAGTTGGGCACAGCTCGCTGTGCGATGATCAACTGTACCATCGACCTGCTGCCCAAGGGGAAGGATGTCATCATCATCTTCCAGGCCAGGCTCTGGAACTCCACCTTCCTACAGGTGACCTTCAACTTTCACCTTTAACTTTGACCTTTTGACATGGAATACTCAATGCTTGACAATCAGATGTTTTCTACATGCGTGAATAGTTTCATCAGGTTGGTAAGTCACTGAATAAAGAGACTCTTTTTACGTTTGGGAACATATCTACAATCATGTATAGCAGCAAGGTAGGTGACAAACAGTCACCAAAACATGGGTAAAAAGAGTTTCTTTATTCTGTTTTCTATGTGATATTTTGAAATGTACATCACTCTTAAAGATGAACAGTCATTCAGTTATCCATTGTTTTGCATTCTTCTTGATATGCAAAGCATTCTATAGTGTACATTGTAGTTTTTTTCTGAAAGGCATGCATGTCTTTTGTTTTTACAGGAATACAGAGAAGTGAAGGAGGTGGACATTGTCTCCCACGCGTCTGTTCGGATGCTCCCAACTCGCTTCAGCATCGTCGAGGCTAACCCAGACAACGACAAAGCGACAGTGAAGACGAAAGCCTTCCCTGACTTTGACCTTCAGAAGGAGGCACCAGGTGTTCCGCTGTGGATCATCATCGTGGCTGTGGTTGGGGGGCTGCTGCTATTGGTGCTGCTCATCCTGTGTCTATGGAAGGTACACATACCTTTAACATCTTACCTAGAGACCCCATGTGGATCCTCTGTGTCCTTTTATTCACCGCTTTGTTTAGAAAAACAAGACCACATGTTTTTGCTTTGTTTTTCTGATCATTTTGACCAGTTTACAAGCACATGATGTTTTCTTATTTAATTTACTTCTCCGGGTTATTTTCATGTCTAAGGGTTATTCCATTTCAAACTGAAGGGTTCATTCCAGTATACTTTTGAACCACCTTCCTTTATTTCCACAACAATCTTCCTTGAATCTCCATGTATCCAATTGTTCATGACACATTCAATTTGAAAGCCCCCCATTATGTTATGAAATGGAATAGCCCAGCCATAATTATTTTTCCTTTGATTATTAATAAGAACCTCTGCTTCCCCAGTGTGGTTTCTTCACAAGGAAAAGTAAGAAAGAGAAATATGAAGCGAGGTACTACCAAGCCAAGAAAGTTCCTAAGGCCTCAGAGAAGGAGTATCCTGCACCATAGAGACTGGTAATCATAGAGACATGGTAGTAGCATGGACTCATACATGTAGCTGTATGGTTCTTGTACATTACAATGTAGCAGTTAACACATTCAAATATTTCAGTCATCAAAAAGTACAAACCTTATCTGTCAGTTTGCATAAAGACAGACACCAAAACTTGCATAAAGACAGACACCAAAACTGTGATAAGTTTTGACTGTTTTATTGAAGTTTACACTATGTCCAGCCTCGGCCAGCATGTGAGCGATACTTTACAGGTGGCCTGGCTTGCCTTCTAGAATAAACAGCCAGTATTGACGGCAACCTGAAATATTGATGGCCAACCTAGCTTTTGGAATACCTGTGAAAAAGTATTTAAACCCTGTAAAACGTTAAGGATACCAAAGTGCTTTCAAGCATTTTAGAACACATTGTGCTACATTGATATGTGCAGGACTGACTAATGTTAACCACTATGTTTGTCTGTCTGTAGGACTTGATGATGATCACCATGTCTCTAACACCCACATATACTAATCTGAGGAGACACATGCTTTCTTCTGTGTAGTTAGGGGCCCATCCAGTATCACCAATATCTGATGCTAAACAAAATCCATTCATTCATTTTGAAAGTTTGATTGAAACTCTAATATGTTTACATGTGTATGAAAAGTACCTTATAAATAGTATATATGATAAATTGTATTAGAGATCAAACTTTATATGTGCCCTAACTCTGCAAGAGTATGGCAGAATGATGATGATTCTTCTTCAGTCAGTTTTGTCAATGAATATTAGATTTGGGAGATACAATAAAGAACCAATTCTGCTTTCGATGGATATTGAGTATATTGCATGGTCCCTTAGAATGCACTGTTTGCTTGTAGGAGATGTCTGAACTGATGTAGAGGCTTGAATTTAGGAACTGTGCATGAGAGAGGACAGCTCACCACTAACTCATTCTACATCCACCAGCTATTACATTGATATCCATGCCAGTCATCCATGCTGGTACAATGTACATGTACCGTGTCATGAAATAACAGGGAGGCTTAGTGAAAACTAGTATATAACATGTCACTTGTTAATTCCTGTAAGTCATCTAAAAGTTACTGATAAAAACAGAATTTGGTTGCTAACCAACGTTACTTCATTTGTCATGCTAAGATTTTTGCTGTATGTACATTTTATATGAGTATTACTAAATACACAATTATTGTTTAGTCTATACATGCCTTTTGGATGAAAAAATATGTAATTCAAAGACCTTGCAAATATCTATAGAGCCTATGTGTCTACAGCACAATTTTCTGTCATTTAACGTATACTTTCTTTGTTGAAATGTACCAACGCTTATTCACCAAAGCCTCCCTTCACAGATGTGTCTAACCTGTAACTAACATAGTGCATGGCTTTTTCCAGAGTAGGAGACTCCACATACAGTAGCCTGGTCATCGGTAGTGTTGCTGACAACAGCTCTGCATGTACGGCATGCTAACTTGTGCTGTTCTGTTTTCCATGCTACAAGTGTTGATGGAAAAGGATTACATGTAGTACACATGCAGTTGCATCTGTAACTTACAATGTTTCCTATGCTTGTTTTTCCAGTGTGGATTCTTCAGAAGAACGAAGATCAAAGAACAGAGAGCAGTCAAACGAAAGGCCCATTCAGCATACTACGACCAGGTCCCACAGCAAGCCAAAGCCTAGTGACCCAGGGTTTCAAGGAAAATTCCCTATTTTTGTTTTCAGAGTAAGAAAATGGTCTGGACTTTTTAAAGTTGTATTGCGGTAAAGATCATAGGAGGTAACCGTAAATATGTTGATTCATTGTAGAACACTATCCGGAAACTTGTGTTTAAAGGTAAAACGTTTGTTCCAACTCAGGTGAGAACACTTCCCTTTTGAGTTGGAACAAACGTTTTACCTCTAAACTTATTGTAGAATAGTTTTTGGCACATGGATACTGCATCATACCTTTCTATTTGATATTGGCTTACAAAAATGTTGCCCCAAACATTTAAAGAAGGATATATGAAAAATTAAAAACTCAATTTAACAAGGAAAGGCCTGCCGTTGCATTTCAAGACTTAATTACAAACATGCATAAATAATTTGAATGCAGACATCAGAGGACAGCAAGCTTCTTCTATGAAGAACTGTCATGTTGAGTTTTGTGCCTGCACAAGATGATAATCATGATAATGATTCATAATGTTGATCAGTTTTTGTGTTGTTTCAAAGTAGCAAATTGTCAACTAGTCTAATGAGGTGCATTTGCTGATCCATATTTTGTAGTGAATGTCAGTTGGCTATCTAGGCTGATTTCATCCCAAAGATCTTTGTTAATAATTTGTTACAATCACGATTAAGTACTAGGAATAGCCAACTTTACAATCTTCTGCTACCAATAAATAAAATATGTGCTTCTGTGTATGATTTTTATGTCAGCTCGATGGAATGCTTTATCATATGTGTAGACTACATCACACATAAACACCATAGGTGCCAAAGTTAATTTATGTAAGTATATATTAAACTCTTCTATGTATTCACGCAGGTGTATTTTTTGGAATTCTAAGTTGTAGTTTAGTGTACACTTCTTAGGAAATAGCGTATTTATGATTTTTTGCTTTAATTTTTTGTTTAACAGACCACGTTGTTTATTATTATCTTGCTTGATTGTTGAATGTTTGCTGTATGTACATTTTAGTGTTTTATATTTGTAAAATAGAATATTGGGGTTTATACTTATGACATTGCGTACTTGGACTTCAAGGTGCTCTCACAATACGAGAAAGATTTGCACCCTAGAAGGCACCAGATAATATCTCAGCTATCAATTGCTGGTGTCTGTGTACTTGGCCAGGGCTTTGTAGGAAAGGGGTTAAATGGAATGTACTATTGAGATATGGGGTGGCATTTTTCAATTTCAAACAAGAAATGTTCAACCCCTATCTCTCCAGTGCTTTTGTGTAACCTCTGTGGTACATGTACTTCATATTGGGTCAAACCAACTTACTATGCACCTGAGGGGGGATATCTGTTTTGTAACTGTCTTACCAAATTTCATACACAATATGTATGAATATGGATGATTATGTAGTAACGGGGTACTTTATATTTGTGCTTTAGAAAAGAAGAGGTACGTAAACAATTGGTGGTAGACTGGCCATCCATTGTTTTGTGAAAGGTTATGTTTTTATCACGTCTTAGTAAATATTTAAAGTGTAATTGGTTTAATCTGGATCATCACCCAGTTTAAGCCAGTTTGAACCAGTCTGCCTCCTTTGTAATGCCTGATGCTGATTGGACAACATGCTGCTAGCGGGATGAATAGCTCAGCCAAATAAGGATAAACATAGCAGACAATTTCTACTGTAGATCTACCCGTATATCTATCATTTTTAAAACACAACTCCTGCAACTTTCCATGATGTTTAAACTATTGATTTTTTGCAATACTGCCGAATTGGCATATCTTTGATGGAAAAGCAGTTTTACTTAACACAAATTTTGGTCATGGAAAGTTTTGGGGTCAGTGTAGCTTTTGGCCCCATAGGCCAAGTGCATTGCTCATGTATGCGAAATTGTATCAAAGACGAAGAAGAAATGTAAATTAGTTGCACAGATTTCAGGTTTTCAAATCGTATGTTACATGTTTGATTGGACAAGCATGTTGTGTTACGTCATATATATTTTTTATTGTTTATGTTAGAGATTGTTCCTGTAGATTGAAACTGTGCATGAGTGTAATTTAAGCTGGACACTTTTTATGAGATGTCAAGAAATGTGCCATTCCCTCTGTGTACCACCTTTTCTACAAAAAGATGCCAGATGACCAGTGCAGGACTCAAAGTACTCTAGCCTTTCTGGTCTAGAAAATCAAACTCTTCCTATCCTTTTTTGGGGTTGCTTTATTTCTGCTATATTGGACCTTTGTATGTACATGTAGCAGGCTGATGTCCTCCAGAAAAGCTTGACAGAAACAGCAAATATTTTACATGGTGCTTCCTTGCAACTCCCTTTAAGCTATGGGAGGAGTTTGAATTTGTAGACCTAGCAACAAAAATGTATAGAATTTCACAAAATTAGACAAAATTTTCTCCTTTAGATTTACAGATTCACACACAGGGTCAATTTGAAGTGTCAGATCAGTTCTTATTTATTAGTGGCAGGCCTACCAATACGGGTACCACACTTAAATGAACAAGTCAATCATACGAGACAAATGTTAACCTGCTGCTCTTGGCACATGAAGCTTTGAATCATTACAAAGACAGAGAGAGGTGGAACACAGAGGGACCCACCTCCACAGTTCATCGGGGGTGAAGATGATGCTATTTTGATTAACTTTGTATGATACATTAACACTTTGTCCAGCTGACCTGTAGAATTTTGTACACCAGCTTCGGACAATAAAACGATTTTGTACAAACAGGAGTCAAGGCGTCCTCATGTCATTTCTTTGTTGTCCTGTATCTATCTAAACCATGATACTACATGCAGTAGGAATACATGTAATGGGTGAACAATGTAAAAAATCAAGATGTTCTCATTTAGTATCCTACACCTAAAATCATCAGATTTTGACAACAATGCCTTTTAAAGCCTTTTAATTATAATTGTAAAATAAACTGTAACAAGGTAGGCAAACTATTATGGTGAAATGTAATAAACACTTATATTTATATACTAGAACTCAACAAAATGGCTCAATAGCAAAATTTTAAGGTCTTTCTTACGACATACTGTTGTTAATTGAGACTAGTCTGAGTCTGGTACTTTGTCAACAGAAATGAATAATTCAAATCTATATCCACCATATATTTTATCTAGCATTGGTCTATGCCACATGTTGAGGGTCCCAGCAGTAGTGCCTGCCCGAGTCCAGACTGTCCAGTCTTCCCATGTCTTCTTCCTCCAAGGTGAAGTCAAAGATGTGGATGTTGTCCTTCAGATGTTGAGGGTTGGTGGACTTGGGAATGACCCCGACTCCTCTCTGGACTGCCCATCTTAGGAGAATCTGGAGGTGCAAAACAGACTCATGAAAACCTTTTACCATCAATCCAAGGCCCAATATGGACCGATCCCAGCATCACTTGCAATACACATTCCACAATACACATTTCATATGGCTGACAGGCTGACTCCTCCATGCTGTAAGCAAGCATAATATACTTATCATGTTGCATTTGACAGTGCAGCAACTATATAGACATGTGATCAGTAACTTTTCTTGAATTGTCAAAAGGTTAAAGTACATGAGAGTGCCTGCCTTTTTTCAGTAATCTGTAAGTTCTGAAATTGTGTCAATAATATTGGTGCACCAATAATGAAAATGTTCACTTCAAATATGGTGTCCTAACTTCCCTTAAACTACTGTAACGGTGCTTTTCTGCAATCACTATTGATTCATGATATACTTCTTGTGCATCAGAAAAAAAAATTTGGTCACTATGACGATTTACACCAGGGACATTTCACAATTTACAGTACCTACATGTACTGTACATGTACTGTGTTTTATCTCAGAAAGTTGCACGTGATCACCTGTCCAGCAGTTCTGTTGTATTTTGTGGCTGTTTCCAGGACGGCTGGATGAGACACCAGTTTGCCGGTGCCCAGGGAGGAGTAGGCCTGGAAGTGAACGTCGTGTTCTCTACAGAGTGATATCAGCTCAGTCTGCTGCAGCTCTGGGTGGTGTTCAATCTGAAAATAGTGATTTTCTTCTGTTAGAGGGACAATAATACAAACAGTAAACATTATTTCCGGTGTGGAAAAAAAGACTGGAATCCTTCAACAGTTGAGGTATTTTTTTTAGATTTAATGATTCACAGAAATCTAAGGAAAAAGAGGAAGGATTCAACCCCTTCAGTGAATTCTCTACCACTGCATGTTTCACATGTCACAGATATCAGAGTTTGTATGTACTTTTCATTACATGTAAAGGTATAATACATGTAACGATACACATTAGTAGTACATAGAGCTGCTTTTAATAATTTACTTCCAAAGCCCTTGTCTATAACTATGGTCCATTTTCACCATCAAACATCTACCCCTTGACTCCTTACCTGCAACACAGCTGGCTTGACCTGACAGTGTTCTAGCAACTCCTTCATGTGTCGAACAGTGTAGTTGGAAACTCCTATGGCTCTCAACTGCCCATTTCGGTGCAGTTCCTCTAACGCCCTCCAGGTGTCCTTCCTGTATTGCCTGTTCCTCTCGTCCTCCCTCAACATACCCTGCTTGCCTGGCCAGTGGACCAAGTACAAGTCCAGATACTCCAACCCAAGAGCTTCTAACGATCTCAAAACTGCCGCCTTGGCTTCTTCATAACCCTGGTCTTTTGGAGCTAGTTTGCTTGTGATAAAAAGATTTTCTCGTTCTACGCTGTACTTTGGACAGAACTGTTTCAGAGCGATGGCAATGTCTTTCTCGTTCCGGTAGACTGCAGCTGTGTCGATTGAGCGATACCCGAGTTTCAGTGCTGCTTCGACAGTTTGTATGACAAGTTCTTGTCCGCGTAACTTGTACGTGCCAAGACCTACAATAGGCATGTCACTGCCTGTGTTTAACTTGACTGTGTCCATTGCGTCAGGCCTATAAATGGGATAATTATAATATATATAATGAAAGATTTTAGTGTTCAATTTTCAAATGATATTATAGACAATCATAAAGTAAGACCTAATACTAGCAATATTTGTATTTGCCAAAAAGTTAATACTCATACATTGCTGTTTTATTTATTGCAAAAGTAGTAACATTCAGGACAGGGATGTAAAATAACATAATATATCATTTATTGTGAACACTTTACATCATTAAAGTGCTTATTTAACGAAGTTAAACATAACTTTTTGAGGTGTACAATTATGTAGGAAGGGGGAAATAAGCAATTTCCTTTTATATAACATGTAACGGTTGGGTTCCTATAACACGTCACTCACGTAAAGGGTAACGTTACAGCTTTATAACGCGACAGATATAAATATGGCTTCAACAACAATCATAACTTTACAAAGACACGAGCTATGTATATAGCAGCATGGCCATACTTACGCGCCCGATCTCTTCATTTACCAGCTGATTAGCAGCATGTACCGGTCAAATTTGGTTAAAGGTCATGCAACTATCCCATTTAATTTAGGGGGTGTACAATTGTAAACTGCCTCAACCTATTTCTTCTCTTTACAATTACAGTTTTCATTTCTTACTCTTCCTATTCAATATTGGAGCAAATTTACATAATGATTATTTATCTGTTTTAATGGCCGGTTATAATTTGCGTTGCGGTGTATTTAATTTCTTGAGCTGTCCACCCCCTCTGTATTGTGGTATATCCCAACAGGAGGGGGTGTGGCTAACCCGGCCAGGTACTTGTAAGGTAAGACCTGAGACGTGAAGCTCCTTGATAACACGGCTCCTTCTCTCGGTTAGACAACTCTACTGTGGTTCTATCAGAGAAACTGCGTCAGAGGACAGCAGGGGTGCAGAGTTTAGCTGCAAAAAGCTTTTAGGTAAGGAAATATTACGTTTAAATTTTAAAATGATAATCTTGGTGAATACATTTCTTAGCTGAATTGGTCTTGTATAATATGGCCCCTTATTAACGTTATAACCTAGAAACCATAACGTGATATGTATGGGCAGTAAGCTAAACATAAGTAGCTGTTAGAAACTATAAGTACATGATCTCATCCTATAGTTTATAACTAGTCAAAGAACTATTGATTAAGAATATGTATTTAACATAGATGCCATACAGGTGGTTATACCTGTTCATCCAGATACAGACAAATGACCTACTTAAGTTCTATTACTCAACAACGGTACCTGGACAGGTGTATGTCTTAGGCAAGGAAATTTAAAGTAGGTAAAACCCTACCCAGATTGATTTGTCTTTTATTCAGGTTCATGACCTGGGGTTAACTTAATGTTGACAGTGTGTCAAAGGTGTGAAGTATTTCTTAAGGTTGCATCAGGTAGGTAAAGCATGTGACCAGGCATGTGCTACTCTAAGTATACAAAGGTATATAGCCAAGAACATGCCATTCAAGGTGACAGACCTGCAAAGCCTAAGCATATTATACTCCAGGTAAGAGGGTTACGAGGGGAGTTAGTAAGACTTAGTGTAGTGTAGTGTAGTGTAGTGTAGTGTAGCGATACAAGCTGTGTATGTTATTAGCTTACAGTATATCCATTGATTTAATATTCTGATTCAGAGCTGAACATCGTACAAACATTTTAAAGTGATGTATAATCCTTGGTGGACTCAAGTAGATGTTTTTGTTTATAGTTAACAGAATTAGGATTCAAAGTTTATTTTTACCACATAACTTGATTTATTAGGATTGCCATATTGCAATATATTGGAGAAAGTCAGCTATTACACCTCACATTTAAAAAAACAATGCAGAGAAGATACTAGTAGCTTGTAGGAAAATCAAAGTTACTAGTCATTGTTATACATGTACTTAGCAGCAGTTATGCCACTATTATGTAATGTTAGGTGTGTTGGACATTTTTAAATAAGTTAAAACTTAAGGCTAATCATTAACCTACTAGTAACTTGTTAACTTGCTAGACTGTAAGCAGAGTAGCATAAACTGAAGCAGGTAGCAAACCTTAAAATTAACTATGATGTAGAAATGACTGCACTGTACGGAAATCTGCTTGTTTTCTTGTTATATATTTGTGATAATAATTTTTTTCTGGTATAAACTTCTGTAGCAAGAGTGACACAGCAGTTTGGTTGTATGGGCCATGTGACAGTCATGTGCCCTGGTTCATTGCCCACCTGTAATGGCTACTGATCGACAGCTCTGTAAACTAAGTATCAAGGGTCACTTTGATGAAAGGTCAACAGTTGGTTGATACAAATGAATTATTCCAGGTTGTGTTACAGATAAAGTCCCTTATTAGCTATATATAGCAAGGTCAATTATCATATGCCACACTCTTCAAGATGCCTGTATAGATTATACGCTTGATATTTACTGCACAACAGAACCATGGACCTATAGGGAATATGCACTCACATTGCTTAATCACTAGCATGACATATGGCAGATACAAGTGACCACTTCAGATTCTAACGTTACATTATGACCACCTGGCACATGTGGCAGTGATTTTTTGGCAGTCCCGTAGATAACTTTCCCCCATTGATACAGGCAGTAAGAATCCTGCCCACAAAGACCAGATTTTGTTGGTCCCTTTTGACTGTATATGATACTACTACTTACTGTGCTTCTATATATCAGGTGTAATGTCTGTTGTTCCCCATCAACAGATGGGTTAGATTTCCTTCAGATGCTGAGGCTTGATGGCAGCCCACCATTTGCCTCTTATCCTGTGGGTTCACTGTGTAAGTTGAGGTGGTGAAAATTATCCCTTATAATGTTTAATGAACATAATTATAAGGGAGGACTGTTACATACTAACACTAGTACATGCCTGTCTTCACTAAACAGATCCAAGCTCTTATATTATTTATAGCATAAAACTGTCAAATCATTATAAGGGATTGCATATGATATGTTGTTTTCTCATTGCTTCAATTTAAAGATATTTTTACCCAATCAGTCTATTCCTGCAGCTGGTCTTATTCACATGTAGTTTAAATCCTTCTGAAGTGTTCCATTTGATGTGAGGTAATTGATGTTATTTAGTGACAATCAAAAGGTCATACATAATGCAGCAGGGTCTGTATACAGGCATATGGGCAAGGGAATATACCATTTAAAATAGGCAGACAGGAAACCTTTGTAGAACAGACTGTAGGGAAGTAGTTAATGATCTGGATGCAATATGGAAGAAATATTCCTGTATCAATATTTTTCTCCAAGGTGATAAAGTTGCAGCTGAATTTGACCCTGGGTTTACATATTTTATTATAAGACAAACAGCCTTCTCTCAAACATGAAATGTTGTTTTGATCATATGAATGATGAAGTTTTTAGAATTTGATGTCAGATTGTTGCTTTAGCCAGGAGACACCCATATTTGTACATTCATCACAAGCCACAGTCTATTTCCATTCATAAAATAAATTCCTTGTATCCTCTTGTCTGTACCTATGGGATGTCTGCATGCACGGTCATGTGACATTCCACCAACCACTGGTAACCACACTTGGCCATGAAGGCTGAAAGAAAACATTGATCTAAACTGGAACTTCTTCAACCTCCATTATATTATAGAAGAAACATTCATGTACTGACTGTATTTTTCATAAATGTGAAAGTAAATTTGCTTTTTGCATCGCACCAAAAATGAATTACCAGACAAATCTAATAGAGATTCATCAAAATTCAGACTGTATCATCTTACAACAATCAAACTATCCTGTTTAAGGTTAGCAGCTCCTTTTCTCCCTCCCCCTCTTCCTTCCCCCTCCCTAATTTGGAAGTAGACTGTTCCATGACAGGGCAGCGTGGGTGGGTGTTCTGGGAATCTTGATGAGCGCTGGTTATTCTTACCAGGGCTACGTCAGAAGGAAACACAATTTTCCAACATGCAGGGGTCCAAACATCATGGAGGTAGGGTGGAGATCGCTTTTAAAATCAGTTGGTATAGAAATTTATGATAACATGTACACAGATATGTTTTCCAGCCAAGATTTTTCTGTGTTTTAGTACAGTTGATGATTTTCTAATGGAACAGGTGGGATACAGGCACTCCATATGTGGATGTATTGTAAGGTCTGGGTAATAGAACAGGGGAGCTGTTTTGTAAAGGTTTGAGTTTTGTACGTCAATCTTGCAAAAGTTCTAAAGCATTACTGAAAATTAGAATTTAATGTATGTCTCTATGTTATTCATTTCTTCCATATCACATGATATGGATGTTTTTGTACAGATTTCAGTAATCTAATATTACCCCATATGCTTTCAGGATGTGTGCATTATACATGTACACACCCTAGATGGTAGACTTTCATCTGTAGAGAACTTGATTTTTTCTCATTCAGACACTAGTAACTGTGTTTTTTATATTCTTGATTGATGCATTTGTACTAATCCTGTCGCTAAGATTATTTAGAATATTGCTCTTTGGATAGGGTTAAAAATTGCCATGTAAATATGTAGTGAGAAATGAAGAATCTAATGAACCTTAATGCTCTTTACACGTACCATATGGTATATCAAGGAGGTTCAAAAACCTCCTTGGGTACATCTAACAGTAGACATTCTGCTTTTATCTTCCCTGGGAGGATTAACAAAAAGTCAGATTGATGTAAATTAGTGTAAGGTTAGACATGTCTTACTTAGTCTAAGGTAATACCTGTCTTGAATACGTTATGTTTGACATTTGAGATTTTGGGGCAAAACTAAGTTAGTTTTCTCCTGTACCATATGCTATGGAAAATTGCTTAAAATTCTACATAAATGATTGTTATGTAACAACATTGAGGAATCTTCAAAAATGATCTAAGAATTCCACATGAATTTTTCCTAGGTTTTTAATGTTTCTTTTTTCTGTTTCCTGACTGATATTAACAAGAAGAAAACCAGAAAAACATTTTCTAAGCTATCAATATTATTCATACATGACAGTACAAAGTAGTACAAAATATACACAATTTTAATTTTCATGTCTATGTTCACTTTTAATGATGCATTGATATCTTCATTTAACCTGTGTCAAGCAAACCTAACAGTTCACACGGACATATTTGGACTTCTACAGTTCCCCTAAGCATTCTGAGGGTCAAGCGATTTTCATATTTTTACCAAAGTTTTTAAAATACTAGAAGGTTTAATAAAGAGTCAACCAAGAAATCTTGTTGTCATGGCCCACCTGTGGATTTGTATGCCAGACTCACCATTTCCTGTGAGTTGTTTTGACGTTATGCAAATGTCATGACGGCATCAGAGCGGGGAGTGCCAGACATGCACAGGAAAGTGGAGTGCCCAGATGACCATAAATGGGAAATTCTCTGCACACTTTTCTAATAACAGACACTAGTGGGTATTTTACGGCACTAGAAAGAACGGTGGAGTGTTTGAAGTTCACTTTGCAGACTAGCTATGGATCTTACTTAGACAGTCTATTAAAGGCGCTTTTTACCTTTCATTGGAAAAGAGATAATAAGAGGTGTTTGTGGTTGAAACAACTGTAGTAATGCAATGGAAAATATATCATTATATCATAGAAACATTAAATTCATGTTAACCACAAAAACTGCAAATATAAAATCACTGCTGATAGTTCATGATATACAGTTTCTCCTTTTACAAACCTTTTATGTCTTAGATAAAAGACACACACAGAAGATAAAAGGAAAAGATCCTGTATTCCTCACTAACTCACCAAAGGAAGTTCTGTATTGTTTGTGTTCATTTGAAGTGGATCAGTTCAATCCAACTAAGCTTACTTCAGTCCGCTGTGATCATTCTGTTCATATCATGAGAGGTGTTGTGGACAGATGATGGGCACATTTAATGGACCTGTTGTTGCTGCTGAACACTGCACACACTACCAGTGGGACCTGTCCTTGGTGCTGAACACTGCACACACTACCAGTGGGACCTCTCCTTGGTGCTGAACACTGCACACACTACCAGTGGGACCTGTCCTCGCTGCTGAACACTGCACACACTACCAGTGGGACCTGTCCTTGGTGCTGAACACTACCAGTGGGACCTGTCCTTGGTGCTGAACACTGCACACACTACCAGTGGGACCTGTCCTTGATGCTGAGCACTGCCAGTGGGATATAGTATAATATCACCAGATGGTCTTTCTGAACCCCCCAAGCATGCATAATAGATCCCAGAAATGTGTTTTTTCATACTGGATTAAATGTGCAGCAGTTTTACTTGACAAGTATAGCATCAGCACCATAACTGCAAATGATTTTTATTCCACCCATGTAGGCAAGAATCATCCTTGCATGAAAAACAGTCCAATTAGAGCAGCATTACGCAGACCTGGATGTCCTTTGTGTTAATGAGAATACTGCCGGCATACGGACAGCAATTTACACATTTGACATGTCATTGTGTAACTTAATGATATCAGCCATGTCAGACATACTTTAAGGTGCTGAATACTGACTGTCACAGTTATTTGGTTGTCCAAAATTCCTTGGGTATCCAGATTTAGGCTATGTTGATTTGATTATATGGATAACATGCTCATGAATTTTTGTCTGTTTCCAAAACAAAAACTTTTCAACCATACTGTAAATTGTATAAAGCAGCTGCAAAATGAGCAAATATATGCTGTTAGTTACAAAAAGAATATTGGAAAAGGATGCTAGTGTATGTCATAGAATGCCAAAATCAATTCCAAACGAAAAGACGGAAATGTGAAGAAATTAAAATGAAGATCTTTATTTGCCATACCATATGTTTTGTCATCTGTTCAACCTTCAGGACCATGTAGATTTCATAATGAAGGCAGCTTTTTTATTTGAACACTTGCATCAAATTTGGGGTTCCCAGAGGGTATCATCCATATAATCAAAACAACATGGCCTAACTACAAATTGCCATGTGCTAACTATAAGATCTTCCACAGGTAGTTGAAAATGGAGCCAGCCCACAAGCCTCTTGTTGACGAAGACAGCTTACCTTCAGGATACGCCTATCCCAGAACCCCCGGCATGAGTGTGCTCCTGGCCCTGCTGGGTGTGGTGGAGGTGCTGGGCGTGGCAGCCATCGCCATGGTGAGTTGTCATGGAGACTGCAGATCTCTATATAATTAAAATATAATCTATTTTCATTGAAGTCAGTTCTCTGAATTAAAAACCAGTCTACAAAGTTTGTGCCTGGCCCTCATCGAGCAAATTATCTTATAAATGTTTAAAAGCCATACAGATATACAAATAGTCGACAACACTATTTCACAAAATATGTTCTTAAATTCCACATCTATGGCACAGAATACTGTCTTAAGTAACCATGCAGGTTTAACAGACGTGCCAGGTGTGGTGTTGGCTATATCGCTTTGTGTTTGCCTTTGGAAAGTTCAGTTTTTGTCCATTTCTGATACTTTGACCTGAGATGGTAGATCTGTGGCTCAGTAGCCAGTGTTCAGAAGTTGAGAAGGGATCTAGCAAACTTCAGACACAGTCTTTTGCACCTTTCAGCTAGAGTAGTAAGGCCCAGGTGTGCGAGTATATCAGTATATCCAGTGTACTTAAACATCGACTGAAACATTTCTGTGTTCTCTCAGGTGTGCTACTGGGCAGCTCACTATAGAGGAGGGTTTGCCTGGGACGGGAGCGGCCAACAGTTCAACTGGCACCCTGTCCTCATGGTGGTGGGGCTGGTCTTCTTGTATGGCAATGGTGAGAGTCTGGGAACATCTCGCTGCAAAGTTGCAGGAAAAATTTTTAAAAATTAGGTCAAAAATACAAAATACATGTGAATGTCGCAACTGCCTAAATTCAACTTGTAACTTCCGATGCAACTTCATTAAGATTCGGTAAAAAATACATGATAAATCAAGAAACTGGCTTAATTCTTTTAAAAGTGAGACGGTACAGATGCTACCTTTCATCCATAGTGAAGAAATCACTTTCTCAGTGACATAGATAATCATTCTTTGCCCTGGCCCTGTACTAATGATACTCAGAGTAGTTCATGGTCATTTTATTTTGCTTCATTACTCATTCTTGCATTGAAAAATTTGCTGAATGTTCAACAATGTTGGTAGTAATCTCTTTATTGTTTTGTTTTAGTTTATTTTAGTTTGTTTTCCCACCCTTGTTTTAACAGTAGTGCTCACACCTTCTTTTTACCTGCCTTTTGTTTTATTTTCCTTTGTTTTGTTCTGCTCAGGTATCATCATTTATAGATTCTTCCGTCGTCTACGAAAGAGAGAACTGAAAATAGCTCACGCTTCATTTCACTTGGCTGCCTTTGTGTTCTCTGTTATTGGTTTGGTGGCTGTGTTTGCGTTCCATAATGCTGTAGGCCTGGCTAATGTGTACTCTCTTCACTCCTGGTTGGGAATTGGCACTGTTGCACTCTTTAGTTGCCAGGTTTGTCCATCTTTACCTTCACTAGCCCTCCTGACTGCCCTATCAAAATGTGGTACAGTCCAAATTCAAGGCATTTTTTAATGCGTTCGGAGTGTTCCACATTGAAGATGGGTATAGGCAGGGTAGGTTGCCATGAAATGAACAAGAATATGGGGCACAAAGGAAAGTATTGGTCATGCCAAAGCACTGCCAAACATTTGTCTCAAAACAGAAATATACTAAAAAGACACTTTTTATACAACTTCACACCAAGGAGGTTTAATACATACTTTTAAACCTTCTTGTTCACTTACAGACTCATTCATGTTTTAACCCTCAATTTCATTAAGAAACAGAAACACCTCAGACAAACTCTCAACAATTGTGGCCTACCAAAGGTTCACTTTCCTTAGTCTGTCCCATCTTCATGACCAGTTTCTTTATATATTAAAGTGCATGTAGATAACCCATGACTGTGTCCTTTCTCCCCAGCGATACTGACGTACCGCGTGTTCCGAGACCAGGTGAAGTTTGGGGTGAAAATCCTCCATGCTGTTCTCCAGATGACGGCGCTGATATTGTCCATCATGGCTCTGGTGGCCACATTTGATTTCCACAATGCTAACGGCATTGCCAACATGTACAGTCTCCACAGCTGGGTGGGGCTGACTGCGGTTATCCTGTTCGCCTTACAGGTACCGCCGTGGTGTGGTGTGGTCTGGTGGGGTGCACTGGTGGTGGTTTCTGTCTCTGGTCCCATTCATGTAAAACTGTGGAAGCAGTGAAGCAGTAAGGCCAAGGAAAAACATGTTCCCTGACTAACCCGAACTAAAACCCTCCGCCACTAGCTCGACCACTGGCAAGGGACATAAAATTTTCAATTGGAGGTCAAATTGAAAGAGAGTCCCTGCCTACCAGCCCTAATTATATCAGGACTAAAACTGGAAACATGGCATTTTTCCCTAGTATAGTCCTAACCAATTCTATATATACATTCTTGAAGACACTTATTTGCTGCCCAAAACAATTCAGTAACTGATTCTTCCAAACTCCTGCATTGATAACATGAAGTCTTCGGTGTGACTTTCACAGTTTTAAGATGGAGGGATGTCTATTGTTCTTGTTGCACGATATCCTTGCTGCATGATGTACCCAGACAAGATAACCATCATTTCATGTTTTCATTTCATAGATGTTGTCTTTGTTCAGATGGAATCCTCACTGCATGGTGTTACATGTCACATTTACCTCTTAGATGAGATGTTACTCGTGGCTTGTTACCCAAATTCTTCCCTCATAGATTCTTAATGCTGGTTAGACTATTCCACTGGCATGTGCATGTGGCAAGTTTATGAAGTTGTTTAAATTAATTACAGCTTTTCTGTCAGAAATAGGAAACATATTCTGTAGCACTTACCGCATGTGGTATATAACTTGTAGTTATAATAGACTTTTGTAAAAATTGTATCAAATACACATTACATGTTTATTGTCACCACTAACCCCCTGTTTTTGTTTTAGTATGTTTTGTTATGTTGTGTTCAAGTTTTTCATGTTTTAATTTGGACATCTGACAGCAAATTAGTCTGAATGCAAGTCTTCTTAGCTTTAGACCACTGTTGGTATTGTTACGTGTATGTAGCAAGAGTGGACTAAAGCAAACAAGACTGGCAACCAGGCTAACAGCAAACCTGTCAGTATAGTTTTTTAGTCATGTTTTTGTAACTGTATTAAGAAAGTTCTTTTTCAACGACTAGTGGGTTTTTACATCCATCGTTTCAGTGACCATCTGTCACCTTCTTCAGAGCAACAACACAGCAGCAACAACACCTTGCTTCAGTATGAATCAGAACCAGTCATTGTTGACCTGGAGATAGATGGTCACTGAAACATTGGATGCAAAAACCCACTGTTTGTTGAATAAAGAAACTTCTTACATGCTCTCTTGCCAACATGATAAAGTTATTCATGGAAAACTGTGCCTGTTTCCCAGTGGGTGCTTGGGGTGTCCACCTATCTCCTGCCGTTTGCCAGACGCTGGATCCGTACCTGGTTCATGCCTTACCACCGCTTCCTGGGTCTGATCATCTTTGGCATGTCCATCGCCACTTGTCTGATGGGTCTGACGGAGAAACTCCTCTTCTCCATGTAAGGATAATCACTTCTGAATACTGTCAACATTGATAGAAAGGATGAATGAGTATGTGCTATGATTTTAGCTGTTTGAGACATAGTTGTGTCTACTTTTGCAGAAGGAAAACATATTGTTTTTGCTCAGTTTCTTTTTCTTCCTTCATCTTCTTCTTATCCAAACAAATAAAGTCAATAACCTTGACCGGACGTCTGTCACCATGGTAACTGGTGCTGTAGCAAACACCTGTGGTGTTGGGTTACATTTTGTTGTCATAGTTTTTCTTCTATTATGTTTATGTACATGCGACTTGCTCCGTGTTTTATCAATAAACCAAGTACTAGTACTACATGTACTACTACTACTGCAGCTACTACTACTACTACTGTAACAGCAGCCATTCTTATAGATTTCTAACGCTGTATACCTACTAATCTTTTGTCGCTCATTTGTCTCTTGCAACCTTATGGATGAAAATTATGCCATCCTAGGGAGTAAGTGGTCTTAATAACTTTTTTCCTCCAACATTTCGTATTTCTTTGATCTTGCTTTGACCTTGATTATACGTACTTTCATCACGTTACTGTGACCTTCAAAAGCTATTCCGTACTATACTGACACCTGCCCCCCTCCCCACAGTGCTGACACCTACAGTACCTTCCCACCAGAGGGCATCCTGGTCAACTGCCTAGGTCTCATCCTGGTGTTGTTTGGAGGGTTTGTCGGCTTCATAGCCACAAAGGAAGAGTGGAAACGCCAGCCACTGGCGGAGGAGCAGCCTATCAACATGTCCATAGAGTAGGGGCTATGTATGGGGTAAACTGAGTTAACTGGACTAGCAGTCTGAAGAGTAGAGTATGGAGAAAGTGTAGAGCATTGTCTTTGTATGTATTTTGATGGCCTGAAATCCTGATGAAGTACATTGCAAGAAATCCTATCTTTAAGCACACTTAAACATGTGTAAAGGTACAGGTGAACGATGAAACAAACTTTACTCATGCTTAAAGAATGGGTTTTGCCCATATGTACCAAACAAATTCTCCTTGATTCACAATCCCGTTTCTAGCTCCAACTATTTTTTTCTATGCTATGTTTTTTTAATGGAAGGATTTTTGTTCCTTTTACTGTGATGCTGTGGAGAGCACATATCACAAAATCTTTGGGCCCTAATAAAGGCATTGTGACGTCTTCAGGAATATGTATCTCCAGAAAATATCTTCTGATTTGAAATTTATCTCCTTTATTTGACAAGCATCTAACAGTAGTAACTTTTTGTAACACTTAGATGACACAGTCAGACTCTGTGTTTCAATTGTTGCAACTTTTTGTGCCATCCTCAGGCACAGTTAAGCTAGTTTGTCATCTTGGTAACATTGTTTGGAGGTTAAGTGGACACTCTACAGGTTATATCAAAAGTGTTCTCATATGATGAATAAACTACAACTGTATTTCAAGAAAGGAATGTCATACAGAATATGGAAGAGATTATAAATGTTCTTGCCATGCCTCTATTCAGGAAAACCAAGGACATTGTAATGATGAAGGCCATAACCAGAGTTTCAGCACCAAGGACAGAACCGTAATCTGAATTTCAGTCCTTAGGAAAACCTATTCTTTGACTAGTTTAGTTCTCGTGCATTTTGAATATGTAGGAACTGTTAAAAACTCAAGAACAGGAGCTACAGAAATTCAGTACAATCAATCTGAAATCTCTGTTAGTAGAACATCAAAATACGCTGTACAATGTCAGTGGAAAAATCAATTACTAGTACTTCTCTCAAATCTTTGTTTGCTTTTGGTTGTCTTTTTTTTCTTTTGAGCTTGAAAGACCATGTTATATAACTATTTAAGGTACAACTTAGAAATAGTACTGGGCTTTCTCTGCTATTGAAAGTGAAAGTAGTGTAATGATGCCATTGTCCTGATGAACTTGTGTAAAATGCTGTGATGTACAAATACTATAATTGTGCAATGTGAAGTTTATCTCATGATGTGCCTTGTGTTGTGAGTGTTTAAATGTATCAAGAATCCACAATAGCACTGTAGTAGGGTCTACTTTGTCAGCTACAAGAAGGAGTGGTAAAAATTACAAATTACGAGAACCCAAAATAGTATTTATTCCCCAGAAAACCATCATCATGTACAGTGTTGCCAGACCATGATTGTTGGGAATGTATTATACAGAACATGACAGACTTCAGTAATTTGGTCCATGATATTATTTCTATAATCTGATGAACTAAGGGTCAATAGATATTATTCGTTGATGAATCTGTTGTTTTGTTTTGTTTTGTTTAACATATCATGATCATTAAGCGTTGCTGTAGAACTTTGTTTTCAGCAAAGACATCAAAGCATTTAGTTCAGATCTTAATCACCGTCATCTGCATTTAGATCATAGCATGTGACCACTGGACTGGTTTAGGCCATGATTTGTTGATTTACTGACTGAGAAATGGTTGATTCAAAGTTCAAGATGTATTCATTGAAATCTTGCAGTGAAACTGAATTTTAAAATGGGCGACATAAAGATACAAGTAACACCAAGGCTAAAAAGCATTCAACTGCAATGTTTGGTACATAATTCTGCTATTGCATGCTATGATAAAAAAAACTGATATAAGCGTACAAATTTGCTATCAATACACTGTTGTTATGATTCTTCGATACTTTTTTTAGAAACAAACTTGCCATTAAGTGACAAAAGGTAGTTGACAACCTCGTGTATTCAGAAATATGAAACATAGCGTGATGTTTTACTCTAGCCAAAACTAACACTGAAAATCATTCCATGTATCTCAGAGGGGTAAAATATAAGTGTAGCTTTAGAGCTCATGGCACAAGCCTAGATATACACTCTACCCAAGTGCCACAGACTAGGTCATCATGAATGAAGATGTATTCTGTATTTTGTGGATGTAGCAGTATTTTTGATGAAGAGTCTACATATCTAACCAAGAACGTGCTGAAAAATGTTGTATGCACAGTGGAAGTCACAAATAAGATATGCCGAGTGTCAATGTCAACAAAGAATAAATGGATATATTGCAAAATCATTTCTACAGCTAGTGTGAGTAAATTTTCTTTTCTGGTGGTAATAATAGTGGCGACCACACCAAGATGATAAGTAAATAACAACGTGCATTGATTTTTGCCTCCAAGCAGATCATACGGTGGCAATTGCAAGGCAGTACCCACTGGCCAGAGCACCCCGACCAATCTAATCTGGACATTGCTCCGAAATTGGTACATTCCTCACAAAATCGGACATTCCTCCAGGTTTGAGCGTACACTCCTCCAGGTGAGCGGACGTTCCTCCAGTTTTGAGCGTACGTTCCTCCAAAATCGGTACACTTCTCCGCGTGATTGGATATTTCGCCGACACCCCCGCCGGCCCGTGGAATTACCGGGTACGGCTTGAAATTTTCGCGGGTACGGCACGAATTTCCGGGTACGGCCAGAATTTTTGAGCGGGTACGGCTAGAATTTCCGGGTACGGCTTGAAAGGAGTTTGATGGGGGTGGAAGTGCAGTGCATGGATCAAAAGCGATTTCTAGCAGTTCGATGCAGGACTGCAGCAATACATTGGCAATGCACCACTGCAGTGATGTGGGCGCTTTTGATGGCGATTTTAACGTGTTCAGAACTATGGAAGCAGGGTTTCTTCTGAATAGAAAGGTAAGTGATAGCCTTCTGAAAAAAAAATTGATGGAAGGGGAGGGCGTCAGGGAAAGGGTGTTATCTACACAGAGGGCGAAAAAAATGCCCAAAATTTTAACGTTTCTCAAACATTCAAGGTTTGCATTATATTGTTATAAGGGGACATCAAACTGAGAAACACTCGATACAATATTTCGTTCGTTAAGCATAAGAGCAATTTGAAATTCAGACCTGTGTAAAGTGTGTATTGTGTTAAATCCGTTAAAACAACTAATGCTGTCATCTATTGAAGTAAAGGATTAAAGGAATTTTTTTAGGTTGAATGACATGATATATATTTAAGGCAAATAATAATATAATGACAATAGCGCTGGTCTTTTACGTTATAAAGCTTAACAAAGAAATGCAAATTATGATGATTAATTAACAGATGGTAAGATCATACCGGTGTTTAATCTAATTTTATTAATTAATTGAGAATATGCAAATTATGGTGATTCCTTATCAGGTGGTAAGACCACGCTGTGCACAGGAGGATGGCGAGTCACAGTGCATGGAACATCGGAAAGAGCTCTGCGGGAAAATTCGTCTTGGAAGACGCACTACATCCGATTTAAGTGGTGAGTCGCACTTAACATTGTCCTTTAGATAGTTGTGACTATTTGGACCGAACGTTTGTATTGAAATGAAGCTAAACACACACACAAAACACAGAATGGCGTGAATTATTTGTGGCGACCGGGTTTCCTGGGTTTAAACCTGCACTTCGTAAAACGGCCGTTGTGGGGCGTTTATATGTATGCCATCTTTTCCATATGACAGTGTGCTTGAATGTTTTTGAACTGATGTTTGAAATGCATTTAATTTTTGTTGTAAAGGTAACTGTTCTGAAATGAGGTAATTCGTGTCGGATTCAATTTGCCATTGGCTATAATAGAATGATAATTATCGAATATTCTGTCAACATGTGTGACAATTATGTTAGATTGTTTTGATGTGATTACCTCCATGAAATGTTTCATGGAGGTTATATTTTCAGTTGCGTTTATCTGTCCGTCTGTCCGTCCGTCTGTCTGTCTGTTGGTCAACAAGATAACTCAAGAACGCCTGGATGGATTGGTTTCATACTTGGTGTGTTGGTAGGGTGTGACGAAAACTAGAAATGATTAGATTTTGGTCCCCCTAGTGGCTTTCCTTGGTACTGCAGCGCAACTTCCGGTTTTGATATCTCGCGATCTGGACATGCTAGGGTCATGAAACTTTGATGGAAGGTAGCTCTCGTGCTTGGGAAGAAGTCATATGAGTTTGGGCCCCCTAGTGGCTTGTTCTGGAACTGCAGGGCACTTTCTGGCGAAATGTTTAAAAGCCAATAAGTCCAGACAGGAACAACATATTTTCATTATTTTTGGTGTGTAGGTAGCTGAGAGAGAGATGTACATAATTAAATGCAAATTATGCAAATGAGGACTTTATTTGCATAATTGATGAGGAAATTCTATAATTACAGTGTTTTACATTATACTACTTACATACATGTAATGTATGTAACCTATGGCAGGTGTACTTCAACAGATAATTATGCAAATGATGACCTAATTTGCATAATTAATGCGAAAATTCTATGATTTCGTAATGGTGAATGATGAGAATGTCATACTTGGGACATCTGTAAGTTAATCAAAAGTTAACATACATCACGATGCATATATCATGTTAATGCAGAGGTCATTTGCACAATTAAAGAAGAAATTTACATGTACATATCAAGATCATATTTCATGGAGGTATGAGATCTCGGAATTCTAGTAATTTATGTGAAATGTATCTTAAGTGTGTGCTTGAATGTTGTTGAACTTATGTTTGAAATGCATTTCACCTTTGTTGTAATGGTAACTGTTAATTAGGTATTCCATGTCTGATTCCATTTGCCATTGGCTATGATAGTATACTATGATGTTTCTTTAATATTCTGTCAACATGTGTGTTGTCATATTGATGTTTTGATGTGATAATTTTATGTGAAATGTATTTCAAGTGATTTTATATGGTCATGATATTCTATGTGTACCTTTGCTTGAATATTCACTCTTAAACAAAGCATAAACTCTTGCCCCCAACCCAAGGCAGGTTTTAGAACTTAAACAAATGATGTGTATATTGTTTAATGCTCTGTGAATATTATAACTTAGCCTGTGATCTTTCTGAATGTGTATTTCTTTTACATCCAAGGCTTGACATTGTGGGACTTGTCAGCTATCCTGTGTTCCTGTCCATTTTCCTGGAGGACCTGCCAGTGTTCCTGATATTCCAGGAGGGGCCGTCAGCTATCCTGTACCTCACCTGTACACC